ACTACCTAATTATTGCACACTGTGTGTCACAGCTACCTCCTATGAAATCGCTGCATGTGTGTACCAAGAAACCCTTGGCCCCCTTCCTTTTCCTTACCCTCAAACAAAGAGTAAGATTTTGATCAACCTAGATTACATCAGTTGGTGAAACAGTTATTTTAGGGAACCTGCCTTTGCCTATAAGTACGGTTCCCTGCTTTGGGTAATGTTATAGATTAATAATCAGTGGTCAAATTTCCACCAGCTGAATCAAATCAGTGTGCTTCTGCATGTCAGTGGCCCACCTGAGGAAAGTTCCCAGCATAAAAGAGAGACTTGGAAAGGAAAAGCATGGCATTGTGGGTTCTCTTAAGTGTTATTGTTTGGAGCCATTGGTTCTCCTGGAGGAGCTTGTCATGGTGGCTCCTCTGATATGAACTTGGCTATTATCATTGCAGGAGCTCAGAACCTTGTCATTGAGAACAGCTGCGGTTCACTTTGGGGTGCTCTGGTCCTTACGTCAAGCATCACTTCCTGGCTCCATAGTGGGAGATGTGTGCTGTTTAATCTTTAGAAACTTGTCACACTGGCTTCTTAATATGTACTCAGCTGTTCTCAACATTGGAGGATGTCGGGACCTTACTGTCGCTAAGGATGGCTGTGGTACTTTTTGTGGGAGCCCTGGTCCTCTTTTTGACCCATCACTTTTTGGCTCTACTTGCAGATCCCTCAGCCTACTGGCACAGATCTTTTGCCCTGCTGGCACAGATGTTCTAGCTTCAACTACTGACCTTGGGGCCTTCCTAGCACAGATCCATAAAACAGACTTGCATGAGTCATTGTCATGGGCTCTAGGCCTCCAGTTGGACTCATGTGAGGCAATGTCATAGGCTCTAGGTTTTCAGCTGGACCTACTCGGGATATTGCCATGGAATCCAGGCCCTTGGCTGGATTTTCTAGGTATTTATTGTTCTGGGCAGATTTCCTGCACTTTCTTGTACTTAGCTCTGTGTGATGATTATAAAATAATAATATAAATTCTGTATCTTGTATATAATTGTTCTCCTTCTAACCCTTAACTGCATCAGGTAACCTGCTCAGTTCCTTCCACACTGCAGCACCCTCTGTTGTAAGCTAGCATTTTTCCTGCATTTTCAGAATCCTAAGTAAACTTCTGTATCACATCACTTCAATTCTGAATTTCTCATTTTCTGGCAGAGACTTCAGATGTCAGCCAGCCCCACCCCAGTGCTTCATTCTTCACCAGAATGAGGGTGAGGAACCTGCAAAAGTGTAGGTTCACCCCTTCAGGACCGCTCATAGAACAACTGGGGACTCATCAGGGAGTCATAAAGCAACCACCGAAGACCCCTGGACATGGTGCATATGCCCAACCTAAATGGGAGTGAACACTGGAGGACTCTTGAGCCTCTTTTTGGATTACTTTCCAGAAGCATCTCCCACCCTGATCTAACATGGTGGAATTCTCTGGCTGGACTCTGCACCAGGCCTCAGGGGACCAGAAGGAGCAGGGTAATGAGTGTCATCATTGCTGACCATAGTGGAAGCATTGTGGACTTCTATCTCATCTTGCTAACGAGTGGGATGGTCACTGAACCGCTGAGACATCCATTCCCTGGAGGTATGGCCTTGCTCATGAGTAAGGATTAAACCCACTTTTAGCCATATGGTTTGGAGAGGGGGAGTCAGAAGTCCTGATACATCTCTGGATTGCTCTTTGTCCAGAAACCTTGGGCCATGACTTGTTTCCAGGTGTTTCTGCTTTGTATCTCACAAATGAAGAATTACAGATAGTTTCTAAAACAGCGACCTGCATCTGAGTTGTCACTTTGCAAACATGGTAAGAACAGGAGTTTTAATGAGTATTATAGGAATCCCATGGACATTTGGTGGCAGCCCGGATATTATATCCCTATACTGATTCACCTTTTCTTTCATGGAGGATACTCACCAATAGAAAGTATAAATCTTTAAAATTATTTTCATCTTGAATTACTACATAGTTAGAATATTTAAAAGATAGGATTCACTTTATTCTCCCTTCTCTTGTGAAACACCTATTGGTAATATATGGCCTTGGATTTCAACACTCCAAGTTAATTAACCTCTCCAACAGTGAGGGAATCATATCCTTCTAGCAATTAGCCATTTCATCCATCTTTAAAGAGAGGCTACTAAGAATGTTTTCCCTAGAAGTAATTTTTAAAGGCTTGTTAGAACCATATGCCAAACTACTATGGGCTGAGACCCTGTGTTTCAGTCCACTGATGACCAGTTCCCATGGCGGGGTCCCTAGACCACAGAGGGCTGAGTACAGAGGAAAAAGGATGCCTCAATCTTGGTCATCAGATGCCATTTCCTGCCAGACTAGGGGAAGGAGGACCTTACCACCCAAACTAATAACCTCATGTCCTAGACTGATGTGTTCTCAGGGTCACGGTCCCAGGACAAGGACTAAAACCTGACAAGTTTCTATTTTCCTTTTTGTTGACCTGATGGGGCCTGGGAAATCCATCTTACTTCTCTGGTCATCTTTGGGATGCCCACATAAACACTGGAAAGTACTGGAACCCCAGGCTCTTAGGAAAAATGGTGTCACTTTTTATTTCACAGAGGCACAGACCCTTTGTTCCTCGGGAGCTGGAGAAAAATGGCCACTAGGGGGCTCTCTAAATTATAATGCTTCTTCCAACTCGGTCTGTTTTGTAAACTGGATAAGGTAGAGGAAAATTTGATATAGGCTGCTTTTCTTTGTTGTCCATAACCATCCAGAACTGGTTTCTGTGTAATTGGTGGACCTCATTCTTTTACTGGTTGCCATCATATCCTGTTCCCTCAAAAAGAGCTCACCCTTGCAGGGAAAGGACCAAGACCCAGCCCTGCTCTATTTGTAAATGAACTCCACCCAGCCCAGTGCAGACCCTGAAAACCTGCTGCCCTTGTAGACTCATGGGAGAGAAGAAACAACTCATCCCAATTTTGCTTATGCTGAGTTAGCAGGGATTTTAAAAAAAGGACTTAGGAAGTTGTACAAATGATCCTGACCAATGTATTTGAGTTTTTGATAAGCTCACTCATTTGTTTGATTTAACCTGGGAAGAGGTGATGTTTTTGTTCACTGAGAGCCTCCTCCTGGGTAAACAGGACTAAATCTTGCAAGCAACAGTTCAAATGGGCAATGCCAACTGTGAGGCCCATGAAATTGATCCAGCTGACAAAAAAAGCATTCGCCCCCATAGCGGAAGATGCAGTCCCTTCTGAAAATCCTCACTGGCCATGCCATGAGTTGGGGAGACATAAAGCCAGAAAACACTTTGCTTTATACATTGAGGAAGGACTCAGAAAGACAAGGATTGAACCAGTTAAATATACCAAAGTAGGCCAGGTGTACCAAGAAAAAGAGGAACCCCCAACAACTGCCATGGAAAGACTTAAAGGGGCGATGATGGAATAGACCCGATGGATCCTGACAGCCCTTCAGGCAAGATGGTTCTGAAAGAGAAAACTTTTGACTGTATGGGCCCAAGATATCAGAAGAAGTTCAATAAACTCTTGGCTAACCCAAGCCAGGAGAGGTTTGATGTAGTCACCCTGTTAAGAGAGGCCACCAAAGTCTTTTATCAAAGGATCAGGGTTTTCAACAAGAGACACTGAACTATCTGTCTCCCATCTCTACTTCAACTAAAATGTCAACTTTCAAATGAGACTTTCTGGAAATGAAAGTCAACAAAGGACATCCAAATTACCCAGAATCACCATGAAGTTTGGGGGCCTGCCTGGGATGCTACAGGGACCACATACCAAGTTTGAACAAGATGACTTGTGTGGGAAAATAAAATCAGTTGTCCACTGACTGCTATTTGCAATCATCAGTTAATCTTGAACTCTTCAAGCTGCAGAACAACAGGGACCTGGTCACTTTGTTCACTGTTGCACACTGGGCCTAGCGTTCTGCTAAGCTCAGGCAAATAGCACTGAATGGAGCAAGCCCAAGCTCTACAGCTCAGAAACTGTAAAGGACATGCATGCTGTCGCTGTTAGAAGTCACTTTGTGTTGGGTGTTTGTGTGCATAAGGATACACCAAGTGTCTTGTACCCAGGTTGGATCCCAAAGACAGAGGTCAGGACTTGACTCGCTGTGAGGCTGCACTGATTTCTGTGGGAATGTCTTCCGCCTGTCTGCCCTCCTCACTCTGACAAAAGAGACACCTCGGGAAGGGTTGACAGATGTTTACAAGGTTAGGTAAAGGCAGCCTCTGTGTGACTGTTGGCAACTAGAGGTTTTCACACAATTTTGTGATTTGAAGCTGACAAATTGTGACTTTGACACCTGTCTCTCTACAGCCAGCACTGTCTCTCCTAGTGAAGGTTTCCACACCTACACAAATCCTCCTATTAGCCCACAAGACCAAACCCTCAGCAGCTAGCTCAATCCACAATCAAGTGTCAACCCTTATGAAGGTGGAGACAGGGCCTCTGTTCTGTAAAAACTGCTGATCGGTGCCCCGGATCTGCGCTCCACTCTCTCTGGAGTGACATGGTACCACTTCCTCTTGCAATACTTGTAACAAAGTCCTTTCTCTTTGTATTGGTCTTTTCTGACTTCTATTTCTGTGGTGGAGAGAGAGAGAGAGAGGCCCAGTGAGATGGGAGGATGTGGGGACAGAGCAGACAGGACTCTACCTGAATAAAAACCAGCAGTTTAACATAAAGATCACAAAGGAAAAAGATCCAACTTCATCTCAAAGATACATTTAGATTTACTTTGTCCACCACGTCACAGGACAAAGATGCAAAACAGAGAAGTGTGAAAAATGGAAGAGGTAGCAGGGATTCTTTACGGAGCCAGGCGTGATGACCAATTGAAATGCAGGAAACATGCTATAGGTTTCATTGAGATTATTTATGTCTCCTCCTTCAAATATTTGTGTGATTTGTACTGTGCATTAAACTGCTGTAGATAGATAGAATGAGTCATACTAAAAATGCATATTCAAAGGTTTGCAGAAGACTTACTTTATTGCTAGATAGTGCTGTACAATCACGGGCTTTCAGAGGGTTAGGAGGAAGAAGGGTGGGCTGGCCAGACTGGAGGAATTTACAATATCCAGTCACTGACGGCACAGGGTTTTCCTGGGTCTTCATTGTACACCACAGTGTAAGTGCAGTTTTCCTGGTGGAAAATGGAATGGCAGTTTTCTTCATCGTACTGTGTAGGTATAGCAACTCTGTAATGAAGGTAAGACTGTCAGAAGAACAAAGCACCTGTCCCCAGGCCAGCTCTTTGCATGAAGCACCTTACCATTCTTCTGGCTTGGGTGCCCTTCACTAAGCAATGCACGTCTTTCCTGGCAGCCTTAAAGGGAATCCCCAGAAACCGCTTCCTATCTATACCCTAGAGCCACGTAGATCAGCCCTCGAGTGGGTTCCACACTGCTGTCTGCATGGCTAGACAGCAGGAGACATTCTGGCACTTCAGGCCAGTTCTGCCATGTGCTAGGGCAACAAAGTTTGTCCAGCCCAGGCCTCCTTCATTTCCATGTTCAGGAAGTGACCACAGCCCAGCCACTGGAATGTGGAGGGGATAGGCTGTCTCCACCAAGTAGGGCAGACTGATACCAAAGCACTTTTCCCCACAAGAGTAGCCAGGAGCTGTTCAAACCAGGTTCACGGGTCTCAGAGAGATGATTAAAGTGGTGTGCGATCCACAGGAAAATCCACCACACTCTTGGTGATGCATGGGTTAGGGTTCATTGCCTTCTCCAATCTCATCCTATGCTCCTCAACTTTATGAGTCCACAGTGGACAAAAGCATTTAATTTCAGGGCTCCCTGGGACAATGTTTTTATGATGTGATACTGGATTGCTACTTTGATAGAAGAGGGTATTTTGAACCTCTTCCTCCAAAGTCATGTGGCTTTTCAATCCTTATTCTGTAGCCACAGAACCTGGCACACCTTGATGATGCACTAAAGAGAAGAGCAGGAATCTGCTCATGGGGGCCAGGGCACTGAGCATTGGCACAAAAGATGAGACAAAACAGATACCTGTGGGAACACTGTCCTATGGGTGGAAGCAAGCTCTGAAACTGTGCCCTGGGCGTTAATGCTCTGCTATGGTTAAGACCAAACATTTCACCAATACCACAAGCTTTTTTGAGGAGTTTTTATGTGATGGAAGAGTGATGATGCTAGATTATTAATTAGAAAAGTTGAACCTCAAAAATATAAAGCTGTTTTGTTTTAGTACCACACTGTTTTATGATAGTATCTCTACAGTATAATTTCAAGTCAGGAATTGTGATGACCCTTGCTGTGCTTTTGTTCCCCAGAATTATTTTGTTCTATTTTAGATCTCTTCTGGTTCCAAGTAAATTTTACAAATGTTTTCTATAGTTCTGAGATTTATGTTAATGGTATTTTGACTGGAATTGCATTGAATCTGTAGCAATTTTGGGAATATGGAAATTTTAACAATGTTGATTCTTCTTACTCCAGAGAAAAGAATATCTTTTCATTTTCTGGTATCTTTGATAACCCTTTTTAGAATACTGTAGTTTTTTAGTGTAGAGCACTTTTACCTCCTGTGTTAGATTGATTCCTAAGTATTTAAATTTTTGATGCTATTGTAAAAGGTATTTTTTCCCTAATGTCTTTCTCATTGAGTTTGTTATTTGTGTAGAGGAATGCTGTTGACTTCTAAATACTGATTTTGTAGCCAATTAGGGGACTGAATATTGTTATTAAATCTAGAAGTATTTTGGGGAAGTTTTGGGGGAGTTAGAGAACAATGTAATCTGCAAATAACTATATATATAACTATATATATATATATAATAACTATACTAACAATCTATTCATCAAAAATGGTTTGTTCTTTCATTGTTTGAACATTTGTTATGCCTATATCTTATAATCTGAACAAGTACTTTGAAGATAACAATATGCAATATATTAACCATTGTTAATCTTCTATTATTTTGTTTTGAAATTCCCAATCACCATTTTTGTTCTTTTTTCATTTTAAAATTGAAGACAAAGAATTGAAAAAAAGTCAGACACCCCCCCCACATTTAAAGATCCAATCCAAAAACAGGCATCTGAGATGAATATATACTTCCCCAAAGAAGTCCAAACAGCAAATAAATACATAAAATGTCCAACATCACTAGTCATTCAAAAGTTGCAAATTATAACAGTGCTAAAATTCTACTTCATTACAGAAAGAATAGCTGTTATCAATAAATCAACCAGTAACAAATACTGACAGGTCTGTGAGAGAAAAAGGAATCCTTCTCCACTATTTGTGGGAGTGCAGTCTGGTAAAAACACTGTTGAAATCAGTGTAGAGATTCCTCAAAAACTGAGCATTATTGGTCCCATTTGACCCAACTATTCTCCTTCTTGATATCTTCCTGAAATAATTAAAAGCATCATACCACTGCAGTGTATGTTCACTCATGTTTCTAGTAGCACAGTTTGAAGCTGCTAAATCTTGGAAAAACCTAAATGCCCATCAATTGATGAATAGATAAAAAGATGTACTTCTTTTATACAATGGAGTACTACTAAGCCATAATAAAGGATAAATGAGATATTTATTGCTAAATGGATGGACATTGAGATCACACCCTTAAGTGAGATAAACATGTAAATATTATATTGTCTATCTTACAATGAGAAACTGAAAGTCTAAATAGGAAGTAAAATATATAATGTATATTGTAAAACAGAGAAAAATTGTCTAAAAGGGAAGGGGAGATCCAGAGAGGAAGGAGAAGCAAGAAAGGGAAACGAAAACATGAGAAAAAAAAGGATAAAGTGAAAACAAAGCTTTGTAAGTAAGGAGAGGCAGAGTGAGTGGAGGGAGGTGAGCGGAATGAGAAAAAACAGGAATCAAGATAACCATGTATAGGTAAAAAATTCCTTATAATTAATGTGATCATTATGTATATCTAAATTATATAGATAAATTTAATAATAAAACACAACTTTATATCCTGTATACAACAAGATGTATAAGAAAAAGTTTTTAAACTTTAATACTTTCAGATAGTGTCACTATAAATTAGGTGGCATTATTTGAAGTACATCGCAATAGTCTACTAATTAATGATTTGTATTGCGCTACAAGAAACTAATTTAAGATCATTAACAATTCAGAGGTGGTTGTTTCCAGTTGTAAATGTGAAGCGTTGTAACCATAGAGAAATATACTTAAATAGTTCATAAAATCAAACCCACAGATCCACAATGTCCACCCAGTCCACTTCCAGTTAGCACCTAAGAGGTAGTAAAGTAGGGCCCAAACACACTTGTGTGTTGCTACCAGTGTTAACTACTGTGAGTCGAAGTGCAGGCATCCTAAATCCCTCTGCACAGAAATGAATAAACAAAGAGGCAAATGAAACGTGGTGTCAGTGCCATGGTGGCTGCTGTGGTTTGGAGGAAAGAGAGCTCCACCATGCAGCAACAGGGCTGGGCCTTGAGTAGCTGCTGAGAAAAATAAGCCCACGCAGCAGGCAGTGTGATGGGTTTGGCCAAGTCTCTGAAACAGGAATTAGATTGCAGGATCCCAGGGTTAGGCAGAAGGTGGAAACGGAAATTAAAGATTAAAGGGCATGTAGCTTAATTTTGTGGTTTTTATGAAGCTTAGGGAAAGGTTAGGTATCCGGCCAGCATGGAGGAAGCTGTGGCTCAACCCAAAGCATAGGAAAAAATTCCACTATAAAAAGTCTTGGGAACAAAGGAAATGGTTAAACAATGTTGTGTATGTAGTCAGTGCCAGTGAATTTTCATCTACAAAGAGTTAAATTGAAAAAAAATCATGTAATATGTGTTTTATTCCAATGGAGAACAGTTAAGAATGGAGTAGTGACTAGGGAAGGGTGCCTAAACCCTCACAGCGTTTTGGCAGGTAATGAGCATGCGTCATTCTGGCATCTCTGTCAAGGCCACGTGGCTGGGAGACATGGATGCAGATTTAATCTCGCTGAGACCCGGCATGGGGAGGAAAGGTCAGGGAGACTGAGCTTGGGCAACACAGACATCAGGTGATCTATGCCCTGAGCTGGCCGCTGGATGCTGCTGGCTCTGAGCTTTGCTTACTGCAGTCCTGGGGCTGGGTGTGGGCGTGGTTGGAGCTGTACAGAGCAGAGGCCGGGATGCCTCCCTGCCCTGCCCAGAGAGCCTTGGCCTGGGCCTGCAGGGAGTGAGCATGTGGGAATTCAGTAAGCGTCCTGCAGAGAGAGCCTGGGGTTCACGTGCTGTCTCAGAAAAGCTCAAGCAAATCCGAATTGTTCCATATCCAAAACAAAAATGAAAGGCCACAAAGAAGCTGAGGTGGTGAATGTTGAGTCAGATCCTGGTTCTGACAGTGGGGACAAATGACCGCGTGTTCCCAGGGAACAGCAGCATGCCACACGGGACAGGAAACACAGCAGGAAGCAAAACCAATGAGCACCTGGACGCCTGAGCTCCAGCCTCTGCCTGTGCAAGGACTGAGTCCAAAGACCTGACCCAGACTTCTCCTTTAGGTGAAGGAATGACTGGAAAAAGGGTTAGTTCTCATACCTACCCAATAATCCCCAAGACAGAGCGAAGAAAATGAAACTGAGAGACTCAGCATCATCCTCAAGGACACAGCTACCAGGCAAAGGCAGCAGGTTCAGCTTGGTGTCACTGTCGCTCCAGCACTAGCCTCCTCTCACTTCCCCACTTCACTGCCAGGACCAACCCTCACTCTGCTCTGCTCAGTTTCAGGAATCACGGAGGAGAGTACTAGGGACAGTCCAGGAGGAATGAGCACGACACTCAGGTCACTGTTCAGTAACTAGGCTGGAGTGCTTCTGTGTGTGGGAGAAACTGCTGACCGGACCAAAACATGGTCCTCAAGACCACACTGCACAAGCAAATGCTACTTGCTGGAAAATAAAGCACAAAACAAAGCAAAACAAAACCACAGTCAAGACATACCAAAATAAGATGATCTGTATCCAGAGTGGTTTACCGCTTCAGTGCTTGGGATGTTGTTCCAGGCACCTGCCCATCTTTCTATTAAACGTCTTTCTCCCCATGCACTAGCCACAGCCCTCTCACAAATGAATGTGGGCAGGATTTCCCAGGCACTTAAAAGTTAACAGGATCCGTGCTTTCCTTTTAAGACACTTGTTTTTTACTCTGATCACTGGGGTTCACACAGAAGTCTCTGAGGAACTTGGTTGTATTTGATTTGAATAGTAACTTTGGGAAATGCTACTTCACACAAATGTTTCTCTCAACAAAGATGGTCCTGTTGGACAGGGATGTAGCTTGGTGCTAGAGCGCTGACCTAGCATGTAAGCATCCTGGATTCTTGATCAGCACCACAGAAGCAAGTACGACAAGAACCACTAATATTCTTGGAAAGCACCACACACCAGGGCTGAATGACAGGAAGGCATCAAAGGGATCCAGGGACGGAAGTGTGGTGCCTCATTTTGACATGACTGTGGATATCTGTATTTAATCCTCTAAGAGATAAACGTTTCTCATCCCTCTAGAAACCCAGCAGAAAACTTTTGAAGAACCCTTTCTTCTGTGATAACAATGCAAGCAGTGAAGGCTTTACACAGGCATTATAGGACAAGGGACATCAAACATCACCCCAGTAGTTTCCAGTTCCTCCATATGCTTGTGTTTAAGTCACACCTGTTCTTAAAATCCTCCAAGATCAAGAATACAATGGTCATTAAGACAAAGTTTAGAATAACATTTAACCATGGGATATGATTTTTTGCCCCCAGGAAGCTAAACACACATATTTCATAATAGTAAATGTAATGAGCACATAAATAGAAATACAGGAATGTAGAAGCAAGCCAATTGCTCATTGAAAGGTGACTATAATTGAGAAGCATAATGTATTTTGTTGTAGATCTTGAAGAGGAAGGACATCCTGACACATGCTGCCTAAAGGATAAACCTTGAGGGCATCAAGCTAGGCTCAGTAGTCTCAAGCAGCCAACTACTCCAGGGATGCAGCTCCATATGAAACCATAGAGCAGTGAAACTTGTAGATGCAGAAATGAGAATGGTGGTAGCCACGAGTTGGAGAACAGGGACAGAGGAATGATGGTTGGAAGGGAGCTGAATTTTAATTGTGTAAGATTGAAAGGACTGAAGCATGATTGTTAGGAATGTTACACAACAGTATGAATTTACTGAATGTACTTGCTCTGTATAAGATATGGGAGTGGAAACTAAACCCCTCGAACACACCCAGAGTCAATCCTCCAGCAGACTGCAAAAACTGGTTGATGTTCATCTTTAGACAGAGGCTCTGAAGGGTAGAACATGGAAGCATTTCTGGAAATATTGAGTTTGAGATCTTGTGTATTTAGGTGAAGGAGACACAAGAAAAATGCGTGTGTCTACCTAATTTTACTATGAATCTTAAATTGCTCTACAAAATTAAGTTTATCAGAAAGGTGCAAAGGATGGGAGTGTGAATGAAAAGAAACCTCTGCTTCTTAGAGACAGCCGGGTCACCACGTAGCCACCACTGGAAGACACTCACGTGGTGCAGCATTTCATTCCATTTTGATCACAAGAGCAATTCTCACACTGAGCATTTATCCAGTTGGAGTTCTTCTTGTATGTGACTCCAAGGAGATACCTGCATACTGAAAAGTCCACACAGTGCCATCAGTGGAGTCCCCACGTCATGCAACAGGAATAAAGCTGGGGCCCAGCCCTTCCAAGCGATGACAATGTCTAAGGCACACATCGCCGTGCTTCTCTATTTAACCTCAGCTAAATACATTGCTGAAATCTGTAAAAGTAGTAACATTTTCCAAAGTAAACTCAAGTCCTTTTATACTGTATTTCTGATAGAGATGTACAGAACAACGAAGGCCTTCCTCTTCCATCTTATTTTGAGTCTGTTTTGTTTTTGTAGAGTATCTCTTTAAATTACATATTTCTTTTTACTTTGGTTCTCAATCCTGCATGCACCTACGAATACACACTTTTGGTACCAAAAAGTAAGTATGCTGAACAGTTACAGGTGAAGGGAAGATTTCATTTTCAGCAGGCAAAAAGCCCAGGTTTCAATAAACCATACCTAAACAAATAAATTCATAAAAACAGTATAGCAAACATTTTATTCTAAGCTCCCAAACAGAACGTGGACTGCAGGACCCTTGGATGTGGGCACAGGCTGCTCTGAGTTTAGAATGGTCATGAGATGAAAGCAGAGTTCAATCAGGGCAGAGACTGCTGCTGAGACCCTAGGCACACTTGTGCTTGAAGGGTGCCCACACTCTGCATCACCAGGGCTTCCTTGTGGATGCAACTCTCACATCTGCCTTTCCATCCCCTGAATCAGCTGGCAGGACTCCCCAGGGTTGCCATGAATATCAAAGTCTGAACTCCTTTCGATTAAAGAATAGTTCTTAATTTTGAACACAAGGGAGTTGAGGAATGGTAAAATATGCAAATCTGACAAGGGAGAGATTATGATTCATCAGATCTTAGACAGAGCCCAAGGATTTGTAAGTTTCAGCAGCTCTGAAGGGAGTTCTGTGCCAGACAGAATGGAGAATGCTTGTCTTATAGGCAGATCAAGTTGAAGACCCTTGTTTGACTCCATTGCTCTCTGTCCTCACTACCTTTCTATATTGAGTCAAAAGTTTTAACATGCCTGATCCACCATGCTGTAGTCACATGATCAATATTAAAATCCAGCACTTACTATCAAAATTTTCGCCTTGACCTTCCATTTGTACAGTATAGCAGCGGATGCTGCTTGAAGTGTCACAGTTGGCCAGGAACAGGAGAGAGCCCAGGAGAGATATCTGTAATGTAAGAAATACCAGAATAACACTGTCTGCCTGGCAAGTACATGGTCATGAGTTCGATCCCTGGTACCAAAAAAAAAAAAAAAAAAATCCAGGACAGAATGAATGGATTCAAAATGTCATTCATTGTATGCTTGGGAGGAGTGGTCACAATAAGGCTTTTCCCTGGTCTCTGACAAGTGGTCTTGTAAGTGGAATTACTTCCCTCTGCAATTGGGAAACAAGGCTTGTGTAATCACTGAATAAATGATGCATAGAAACAAATGTGTGTCAAGAATCCTGTAGTTACTACAACTGTGTGCTTTCTTGTTATGGATGATACTCAAGAAACCATTGATGAAAATGAAATTTATTTAGACTATTTTATAGATATGTATAAAGTATAAAAGATAGAAATGAAGAGAATGTTTTTGAAATTAATAAAACATGAGCAAAACACGGAAAGAACAGAGTGTGAGAAGCTGGCTTTCACAACTTTAATTGAACATTGTGACTAAAAAGATTAAAGCAATGTTTTAGTCACTTTCCTAGTGACAGACACAATAACCAAACACTTGCAGCTCAGAGAGGAAAGGTTTATTTTTACTTACAGTTTGTCGTGATTTCAATCCTTGCATGGTCAGCAGCATGGTGGAAGTGCCTGATACTAAGGAAATCTGCTGATGTCAAGGTGGCCAGGAAGCAGAGTGAGGTAACAGGAAGATTGGAAGAGAGATATATCCCTCCACGTCACACCCACAGTGACCCGCCTCTTCTGACCAGACACCACCTCCTAACAGCAAGTCAGCAGTACTAAGCCCACAATCCACGCTCCTTTAAGAAACCCCAGCTAGGAATGCATGTGGCTTTGTGGGTACACATAGAATATAAATGTAACCTTCTGCATCTTGTCCTGCAAAAGACTCATGCATATCTCTTTATACAAACTACATTTAAGCTATTTCTAATTGTTGCCAAAATCTTAAGAATTCCATTGTTACTAAAAAGTCCCCATCCAAAGTTTCCTGAGATTTGAAGCAGTCTTAACTGTGAGCCAACCCAAATATATATAAAAAAAGATTGTTAAAAACTGCCAACATGGGGCTGGAGATTTAGCTCAGCGGCATAAGCGCCTGCCTTGCAAGCAGGCAGTCGTGAGTTCGATCCCTGGTACCGATAAAAAGGAAAAAGACAAAAAACTGCCAACATTAAGTAGCACAGGTTAATATTCCCATTACAAAAGAGGAACAGGGAAAGAAAAGAATTATGACCAAAAGGAGAACAGCACAGCAGGGCAGAGAGCAAGCCCTGAAGCTACAAGCCCAGCACCTCAGGCAAGAGATGTCAAGATACAAGCCACCCTGAGGACACTGCTGATGGTTGCCGCTTTTATTGCTTCTATCTTGTTTTGGCTTTGTTTAATAATTGCAGCTTTCCTCAGATAGTGTAATTTCATGGCTTCTCCAACTTCATTGGTCACCATTGCACTTTGGGCATCACTCAGAACGTCAAACACTGTCCTGTCAGTAGCAAATATTCTGGACTCCCAGCGGTTGTTTTTTTTTTTTTTTTTTTTTTTTCTTTCAAAATCTGGGTGGAAACTTCCATAATTTGTTAATATTTGCATTTTGCATACCCTTACAACTAGTAACAGGAGGATGACACCAAGGTCATCCTTGATGTAAAATACTTGGATTGTTTTAATGGTTGTCTTCAAAGCAAGCAAGCTTTCTTGTGCCCCAAATTTACAGGTACAAACTTTATGAAAGCTGCCTTTCTAGTCAGACTCAACTTTTCAAAATTGATCATTTGCTTCTTTGCTCCAGATGCTCCAATGAAAACCTGGTTAAAGTCTCCAACAGTACCTATGCCACAGCCTCAACGTTAGGCTGCCCTGAAGTTTCCAAGATGAGATTAGTTAGCCCACTGCCCTTAATTTCAGTATTCCACAAAATCACAGTATATAAACAAAATATAGATAAATTTTCTGCTAGAACTTAATACATATGACCTGAGAACGTGAAGACTAAGAAAATAACCCAGCTGACTGATGGGGGGAGGATTAGAAAGTGCATGATGCAGTGATCATGGGCTTCATTCATAGACTTGAAGCCCACTGCAAATCTGCCCCGGTGTGAGTGCTGTGATGGAGACTAAGATGCTCAGACAGACTGAGCACTGGTGACCAATAGGAGAAAGGAATTTTGGGGAGGGTTAATTATGACAACTTTGGACTCTTTCTTATGTTCTCCATCTCATAAAATGTGTTAAATTCCTAACCTTAAAGGATGAAAGGATTTCTGTAAAAATAACAAACCCCACTACATTGAGCAAATTCAGGACTTTGAATTATACTGCTGTTTCATATTTCATTTTCATGAGCCTCAGGACCAATAACACTGGAAACTTTCAATTGTATTTCCTTCAAAAACTGAGCTCTGTGGAAAGCATTTTACTCTGTATGCAGAAAGGAGGTTTCCAGAGGCTGTGGTGATCCCAAGGCTCTAGAAGATATTTGTATTGTGTGAGAGATAAAGGGCACCAGGGGAGAAGAGCCTAAGTGAACCCCCAGAGCCAATGAACCAGACAGAGTGCTCAGTCTCCTCAGCTCTGGGGCAGGGACACAAGATGTAGTGACTAACCTAAAAGTAGTTACCATATTGTCTCTTTCTTTGAAATCCTTGAGTACAACTTCGTATACTGTAGCATTAAGTATATCAAAACAATGTAAAACCATTCAAGAGAATGATAGCATTACAGAGTATTTAGAATTGACTAACAGAAAATGAACAATGGTTTCTGTATAATCTCCTTGTCTTTAAAAGGTTTAGGTTAGGATTATCTGGTGGTGAAACACTACTCTGCTTAAATGGTTATGTTTTGATCTGCACTGTTTCGTTGTTATGCCCTCTTTTATCTCAATCTCCACTCCATTATTTACTTTTTTATCTTTATCCTTTTAATTAAAGGAAAAAAATAGCAGGATATATTATAGTAACCCACTTTGACTTTTTATTACCTTGATTTAAAGCCCTGTATTACTCTCACCATCTGGTTTTTAACTGATGTTCCCCTATTCTGTTTTGCTGGATAGTATCAGGTTCGAAAGTTTAGGCAACAGCTGTGAAGATAGTGAGATTCATTATGACACCCATTCTTGTTGACTTTTATCTACTTTTGAAGACCTACAATGTCTCCAATGTTTTGGTTTTGTCGGTTTTATTCTTTACTGTTTTGTTCAATTGTATTATAACTAACGATATAGGCAATTCTGTTAGAGATAGCTGGAGGCATTATGGTAACCATTGTTGATCACCTTGTATTATGTTTTTACATTATATATTATGTCCACCCTTTTGACTTGACCGATTCTGTTCTGTTATGTCTCATTTGGTTTTACTCTCTTCCAAAAAAGTAATAAGAACCGTGGGAGCAATGAAACCCAAAATGTGTAATAGTCATGGTACAAAAGAGAGGAAAAGAAAGTGCTCCAAACTATATAACTGCATGTATATTTAAATGTATAAGATAGAAAATGATATCACAGAGTTTTATTGGATCAATGAACAGAACTGCTTGCAGTATCATTGATGGAATGTCCACTTTACAAGCTTTAATTTTGTGACTTGAACAATTATTTCTAAGATGACAATATGTAATCCATTAACTAGTGATTTCCTACTGTTTATTTTTTTCTGTAAATCTGTATAACTTGTACCCTTTCCCTGCTTTTTTTTTCTTTTCTCCTTAAATAAAATTAAAAAAAAAAAGATGTAGTGACTGCGGCCAGAATCCAGACCCAGGACAAGAGAGACCAAGTTATTTATTTATATTTGAGATCATACACTTGACAGTATCTGAATCTCCCCCCCAAAAGCTCAGTGCTGTCATTTGTAAGAAAAGGGTATGCTCTCCCACTTGTCTGGGTACCACAGTTCCCTAGGAAACTCAGCTTAACACACAATCCCAGGTTCCCTTGGATATACATGGTGCAGGCCTTGGTAACTTGACCATGTATTTTTGTCAAAGCCACAGAAAAACTGACCACATCAATATGGCTTTAACATGCAGACGTATATTTGAGGCGTATTAGAAATATGGTGCTTTATTTCTTTTTTTTTCTTTCTTTATTTCTTTTTTTTTTTTTTTGTATTTTTGAAACAAGGTTTTACTATGCAGTTCAGGATGGCCTTGAACTCACTCTGTAGCCCAGGCTGGCCTCAAAATTGCAGTGGTCCTCCTGCATCAACCTTCTAAATGCTGGTATTATAGGTGTGCACCACTATGCCTGTCTCTGCCTCAGAATGCTGAAGGCTCACAAGTTCCTGCTCTTGCTGTTGCAGATGCTATGAATCTGAGGACCAGCAGTGAATAGTGAGGCTCTGTGAAACTCATGGGACATAGCCTCTCATACTCTTCTATTGTAAATCTGTACTTTCTCATAGTACTAGCTGTTTGTGTATCTCAGCAGCTGCACTGTCGTGTGTGATACAGGACATTTGGTATGATGAGCAGCAGGTGTGTGCATGTGTGCAAATGTGTCAAATGGAGATTTTACCTACATGATGCTCATCTAACAGATTTTTCATATGTTTACCTGAGCATCACAAGGAATAAAGTACACTCACACCACTCTTCTGCTTTTTTAAATATGTATTTTGCCATAATGCAATGTGGTTGTCACTCACAGTAGCTGCATCTGGCAAAAGCAAAACCCATATATATATTGATCCACTTGGCAGAATAGTAGGGTATGTACAGGACCTCCAACAGCATAAATGCTCTAATACAAGTAAAACATTTTGTGTGTACCAACAGTCATAGTCAAAGTTGCATTTATTATGACACCTCACTGGATGAGCTGAAAGCATTCATAGGTTTGCTATACTTGGCAGGGCTATCTCATGGCAATCACAGGAATGTAAAAGATTATGCAAAAGTGATGGGTATGGATTTGAGGTTTGGTTGAATAGAATAATGGTGTCATGGAGAAGATTTTATTTCTTTCAAAATTGCCTGGGGTTTGATGACAAAACAATCCTCCTTAGTCTGTGCCACATGGTCACACCAGCTCAAACTCACTGGTAAAGATGACAAGAGGTTCTCTGTGCTGCTGTGCCAAAAATGCCATCCTGGGCATGAGTGTAAGCAGACATGTTTGAAAATGAATCACTCATTTTTTTCCAAAATAATAAAAACTTTGCACTCACTTTGACTAAGGGTCTGGAATAAAAGAGACTTTTTACATCCATTATGGAAACTACAAACCCAAGGTGCAGGCTCTATGGGTTAATTTTCTCTTTCAAGGCCTCTGTGCTTGGTTTTCAGACATACTTATGTTGCCTCTTCAAGTGGCACATATTTTTGATATCTTTTTATAGATCTAAACTTATATTTTTATGAACCCTAGGTGTATTATATTATACATTGTCTTATTTTACTCTAATTATCTCTTTGACAGCTTCATTTCCAATATTACATTTTTACATCATGAACTACTAGAAGTCAAGGAATCAGCTTCTAATTTTGAGAGGAGACACAATTGAGCCCCTTACACCATTTATCACACTCCTTACACCCTTTATCACAAATGGTCCCCACAGCCTGCTTCAGAACCTGAAATCCTACACTGTGCTCCCCATGTGTATAGGTAAAGGTCTGCTCTTTTGGCCTCAAGTTTTGGAAGCTCATCAAGGTTGGGTA